CTTCGGTTAATGGTCTAGACACTTTGGAAAGATTTTATTTATATTTGTATCTATATATTATAGTAGTTGTCCATATTTCCTTGTTTGATTAGGTACAGTTGGGTGTTTCCTATAGTTTTCTTTTCATATTTATATTATTCTTTTACTTTTTGATTCTTGCTTCTTCATTGACAAAATTTTCTTTATAAACTTTGTGCTTGAAACTTTACCCCTTTCACATGTTACCTCTTTTAGGTTGTTTTCAAGTTTTTCCCTTTAGTCACTTTTCTTTGTCCTTGTCTTCTCTCCCATGTCAGCCTGCTTCGGAGCATAACTAGAACAGGGATAAATTCATATACATTGAAGAATAAGTAATAACCGGTTACACAGCTTAAAACATTCAAGAGAATGACAATGTAATTTTAAATAATACTTAATATAGATGTTTAATAAAATACTACCTACAAATATTTTAACTGTTTCCACTAAACTATTAATCTCCTTAGGTTTTTAAAACCACTTCCATGCATCTGCACACATCCTCCTGCTACAAAATAACAACATCAAACTCCATCAGTAAAAGTCATTTACTTCATCTATGTAAAAATTCCAACAAGTTTAACTTCGTTTTACCTATTGATAGTTTCCTTACCTCCTTCAGATACAAATTTCTTTTCTCCTTCCTTTTTCCTTATCACCACCTGCCTCATTAAAGATGCACCACAAATACCAGCACATTTTATGTTATTCTCACATGAGTAAAATTATACAAATAAATTTCATATTTACCTTTAATGTATGGCTAGATTTAGTAATGTATACAAAATTGAGTGAATTCAACACTTGATTCTTTGAAATAATAAATACAATTGATAAACCGCTAGTCCATCTTATCATAGAAGGAAAGAAAATACTCAAATTTATGAGGTATGGAATGAGAAGAGTTAAATCACCACAGCTTCTGTGGAAATTCAAATTAACAATATCTACTTAAAAGTCTTTCCTCTCATATTATGAATAACACAGAATAAATATAGAATCCTAAAAATGCAAGAATTAACAAAGCTGAATCAAGAAGATATAAAAATTCTGAATAACAATATCAAGTAATGAAGTGGACAATGTTAAAAACTTCTCAACAAAGCAAAGCCCTGGTCCGGATGGATTCCCAGCTGATTTCTATAAGAAATTTAGAGAAGATTTCTTGCCAATACTCCTCAAACTCCTTAATGAACTTGAAAAAGAAGCACCTTTCTTTAACTCATTCCTGGAGGCAAGTATTATCCTCAGAGCAAAGCACAGAAACTCTCAAAGAAAAAGATAACTACAGGACCCCTAATGAAAGTAGATGCAAAAATCCTCAGTAAAGTACTAGCAAACAGAATGCAGCAACTCATCAAGAATATCATATACCACAACCAATGGGCCATCAACCCAGGAGTGTCAGGATAGCTCAATATATGCAAATAAATAAATGTAATACACTACATCAAACGAACCAAAGATAAAAACCACATGCTCATTTCAATAAATGAAGAAAAAACTTTTGATAAAGTCCAACACTCATTCATAATAAATAACCTACAGAAAATTTCAGTAGATGGTCTTTACTTCAATGTGATAAAAACCATCTATGAAAAACCAACAGCCAACATTTTACTAAATGAATAAAAACTGAAAACTTTCCATGTAAAATCAGGAAAGAGACAAGGATGTCCACCATACCACTCCTTTTCAATATAGTTCTCAAAACATTATCCTGAGAAATTGGACAAGAGAGACAAAAAAAAAAAAAAATAGGAATAAAAATAGAAAACAAAATGTGAAATAATCATTATTCACAGATGACATGATGCTCTACAGAGACCTGGAAAACTCCACCAAAAAGGCTTATAGATTTAATAATCAAATTCAGTGGTATAGCTGGAAACAAATCAACAATCAAAATTCAATAGCATTCTTGTACAAAAAGCAAACTCACTGAGAAAGAAATGAGGGAAATCACACCTTTCACAATACCATACAAAAATGAAATATCTAGCAATCAATCTAACAAAGAAAGTAAATATCTATACACTGAAAATTATACTACTCTGAAAAACTACATGAAAGTGGATTTTAGAAAATGGAAATATATTCCTTGCTAATGGATAGGAAGAACCAACAATAGAAGTGGTCATACTCTCAAAAAAGTTATACAGATAAAAGGCAATCTTGATCAAAATACCATTAGCATACCTCATGGATGTAGAGAAAAATTTCCAAAAATTCATCTGCAAGAAGAGACCTATAATAGCAATGGTAATTCTTGGCAACAAAAGAAAGACAGGAGGCATCATAATCACTGACTTGAAACTGTAATGTAAAGTTACTGTGATGAAATCAGCATGCCACTGGCAGAATAATAGACTTGCGGATCATTGGAACAAGTTAAAGATGCAGACAAAAGTACAAACACACTCCGCCACATTAAACATGTTCACTGGAAGAAAGACAGCCACTTGTATAAATGGTGCTGGAAAAGCTGGCACTCCACACAGGAAGAATAAAACTGGACTCATGTCTATCATCATTCACTATACTAAAGCCAAAATGGATCAAACATTTAAACATTAAAATAGAAACTCTAAATCTACTGGAAGGGAAAGTAGGTAGAAATTTGCAGACCTATGAGTAGGGAGAGAGTTCATTAAGAAAAGTCAAACTGCATAGAAAACATTTCAAAAATAAACTGTGATCTCATCTTATTAAAAATCTTTTCTCCCATCATAATAAATCATCAACAAAGTGAAAAGAAAACCTACAAATTGAGAAAAACATTATGCAACTATCCCTCAGAACAAGAACTTCTATCTAGAACATATAAAGAATTTTTAAAAATCAGGTCAACATACAAATGTCCAGGCCAAAAATGGGCCTCTGAGATGAATACACACTTCTCAGATGAAGAAATAGAAGTGGCAAATAAATATATAAAACACTGTTCAACATAATTATTCAGGCAGGAAATTCAAATTAAAATAACACTGAGAGTCCATCTTACACCAGAAATAATGGCTATCAAGAAATCAGCGAATAACAATGGCTGGAGGAGCTGTAAGAAAAAGAAACCCTTCTCCATTTTTTACAGGTAGCTGATTCTGGTATTGAAATAAGTAGGGATTAGTAGATAACAAAGAACTGTGCACATGGGGAAATTGCTTAACAAGTCTAAAATCTGCAGTGTTGTTGCATGATAACATAGAAACAGAAAAGAAAATAAATCCTCTCCCTGGTATTAAAAAATAAATGTAATTTGCAGAGGAGGCCAGTAATCTTTCTATATTTCCATTGTCCAAGATTGAAACAGTAAGATGAAGACCTTCAGTAACACACACATAAAATTCATGTAAGCTGTGTGGTAGCACTAGCATTCAATATATATCATCAAATAAAATATCTTTATTTTTCAGGACCAGATCTGTATTTATTAACAGCTAACTATTTAATAATATATATATACAGCAAGGTAATTAATTTTAACTTTTACTACCATATCAAAATATTTTTCTCTTTAAGGAAAAGAATATATTGCTTAATAAAATTCAATACCACTGCTTTCAACATGTAAATAGTTGTTTAACTATTATTAAATCTCACTCCCAAATTTTATTTTCATTTGGTGTCATTAAGAATGAAGGAGGTCATTTTCACAATGTTACAATCACTGACAGAAATATTGAAATACATTAATAATTGAAATTATTTGAAAACAAATCTTGCTTCAGAAATGTCCTCTATTGCACAGGAAGTTTAACGTTTAATAGGATTGGTTATTATTTTACCACTGTTCAATTGACAGAAACATCGGTATCTATTATTAAGGCCTATATCTGTTTTAGGGTATAAGCAAAGGCCAATTACTGCTGGTCCTTCAAGCACCTCTTCAGGGAATTTAAAAATATTACTAATCAATTGCAGTGTTGCCTTATTTGCACACTGCTTTGTGTATGGTTTTCAATATTACTTTTTCTTCAGAGTAATTACATGCTTAGATCAGAAATAGATCAAAACTTCTGAGT